TACAAACTATTTTGTTTTTCTCCGCTTGCGGCAAATCAGCTCAGACATGGCGTTATGTTAGACAACTGATGGACCGGCGACACGGTCGACGCCCGACGGTAAGACCATCGGTGAACTATGTTGGCGCAGTTTGTCAGTGCGATAACAGAGCTGCTCATTGAAGCTTCTGCGTTAGCCGCGTGCGCACTTTGMAAGAGCCGTAGCGTAACGTGTAAGCGCAAAACTGTTCCGTGTTCGAAACGGAGACGGATAAAGATGAGCCGTTTGTGCTATCGGTGAGGTACGTGCTAGCTCAAATCGTGTCAGTAACCGTACAATAGTATAGTACCACAGATTGGGTGATCATATAGCGGAGCGCGTTAAAATCCGAGCTAACATTGCGCAGTTATTGCGGCGGCCGCGGCACTTCGGGTGATGAATGAAAGTGACGCTGCGTTCTGCTCAACCGCCAAGACGGAAAACTGCAAAAACTGGATAATTAATTATTCGTCAATGCAGGCTGATCGCTGATCACATCAACGACAAAAAGAACAAATCTTGTGGTCGCAATTTTTCGGGCGGCACGCACCTGCCGATAATTCGAGATACCTACATATTGTTTCTTTTGCGTAAATAAGCCGAATTTAGCCTCCAAGGATATCTGACGGCGTATTATTACGACGCTTTTCGTCGCATTCGTAAGAGTTCATCTGAACATTCTGAACCATTATGAGACACCGAGACCGTCACAACATTGGTACATAATATAAGTTTATTACTCACACAAACGTTTACAACATGGCCGGTAAGCTAGCATATATTATGCAGCTAAACCGTGCAGCTCGACGTCATAGTAGTTATTATTGTAGTATAGTTATTGTCGCGCGATTATGGTAGTGGAGAGTGGATTGTAAGTATTAATTTTAAGGATAAAACAAAAAGAGTACCTATGAATTTAAAGCAAATAATAACCTTAACAAAAAGTATGGTAAAAATGCGCTAATAATTCCACAAGAATACAAATAGGTACCAGAAAAAATGCTTATCATACGGTTAGTGGTGATAATGATATTAATTATTATGCAAACATACAATATTAATAATACTATAGAAAAACACGGTAAATAATAATAATTTGGTAGCATACAAATATATGACAGTGACCTAACCTTTATGCTGTGATTCGGACTAGTATGATATCGACGAGAACGATGGCCAACGGGTGATGGGGACCGCCGGCAGCTGGTGGAGGCTGATCTTAAGGTTGCGCAAAGCGTAGGTACTTACATACTTTGCAAGCTCTTTATTTTAAATTTTACTGCCGCCGCGTCCATGTTAAATTTTGTGTCTATCGAGACAATRACATCGTTTCTTTTAATTTTGTTTGTGTATATAGTCTTAGTATCGGAAACGATCTACATAATATGAAATAATAATAATATTATTTAATTAATTAAAACAATTTCTTAATTATAATTAGTTCTTAATAAATTAATTAGTTTAATTAGTTAATATTAATATTACCTGCAATCTTCAATGAAACGTGTTGTTTGATTTTGGTCTTCGGTTTCAGTTATTTTTATTTAAAACTGCAAATACACACAAAATAGAAGTTTGTCCTCCTATATGCTGGGACGCTACAATATACGAGAGATAAGACACAATAATTGGTATCAACTCGGAACGTAAAAATTGGGGACGCAATTCGAAAGGAATTGATGCCGTGAGACGCAATTCGTACTCAGTCAAAATCAAAAYGAGATTGACGTYCCGGTGTCGCCCGTGGCAAGTATCTTAAAAACCCTACAAAATAAACAATAAACATATAATTTATAAATTATGTGTTTCAGAAATCAGAATAATTAACGACATATAAAATCGTTTAAATATATAATTTCAACAGAAGAATCGTTTATTTAGAGTACAATGAGAATAAATCTAAACCTGATATCAGTATAATAATTATATGCACTTCAAATCCCTACCACACACTTAATAAAGTATTAGTTTCTTGATATAATAACGGGTTGGTTTTTCCTTATATTCTAATTATTCTATTAATAATAATAAACGTTCTTCCTAGTTGTATCTCTCGTGACATTCAAAATGAACGATTATACAATTTTGGACTTGTTTGTTTAGCAAATAAATATATTACGGGAATTATGCTATCGGATGATAACAACTCTAAGTCCTTATCCCATGGAAATATGGAATCCCACCAAATTTTTATTCTGTGTAAGCGTCCTGGGGCCGAAGTATACCATCATTGCTGACGTACTTTGACTGACCTAAAATCTAACTGGATTCATAATCTAATCCTACAAAACACTGCACTGAATCGACACTTACCTTTGCTAGACGTGGTGACGTAGATTTACCTATCTATCGGAATCAACCATATGCCGATTGTTTAATCACCACTTCTGTCACGTCAGCTATTTTACGTTCACCATCGACCTCAGTCCTTAAGTCAGACTGTTTCAACTGACCTAGCTTTGTTTTGTCTCTAGAAATTCGGCGACAATAGTAGACGCATTATTTTATTTTATTCGTTTCTTGTTCGTAGTACCGCCATCCTACAATAATATCTGTCAGCATAGGCGTGCACACGGGGAGTGCAGGGTATGCAACTGCAGCACCCCCAGCGAGTTCAGCTTAGAAATAGATAGATAGATAAATAATACTTTTTAAGTTATAATTTATTTTTAAACCCGCGGTCACACGATGAGTGCTACTAGTGCTTATATGTACGAATCTACATTATAYGAAACACGATTAAAATCGACAATCGTTTTCTGTTATCGAAGTGTGATAGTCGATAGATATAGTAGCTATATAGACACGTCATCTTGAATTATATTTTTAAATTATTATTAACATGGGTAACTAACATTAACATTACCATTGACTTTTAAAAGAAATACAATTATTAAAATTATTATTAATTTTTTTTTTTWAATTAATCCTGGCCTGACTTGTTATGTGGCTAGGTAACATACTAAAATGTTCAATCTGTTWGTACTATGCACACTCAGCAAAAATGTCCTGCGCACGCCTATGTCTGTCAGTACACAATCGTTGTCCCAGTCCAACTGTGACAGTCGATTTACTAGGTCGGGATAGAGTTCTTTTTCATTTTTTATTCTCGACAGCGATGATGATGGCCAATTGCAATTAGATTGTAAACGTTGTTGCAAATGTTGCAATGACATCATAATTTCCATACAAGAATTATACACTTGACATCGGTACCATAAAGCAGAACAGTTCTTACTTTCTCATAATTTTTAAGTACACTCGATATGATTCGTTTTACAAACAGAAACAAAAAACAAAAAACAATGTGGCTACTAATTATCCCGAGTGTATAACGTATATGGTCGAGTGGCCGATGCGACTTGTCTTCCCGTCCCACCTAGTCTTTTCAGTTTTCGGCATGGATCAAGAGAGTCGACGTTGTCGCGTTGTTGTCACCTCGTGATGTCCAGTACGATTGACAAAGTCGTACACAGGTCGCTGCGTACCGTGTCACATTATTCACATTGGACACAAATGTCAAATTTACTAGACAAATAAGCCAATAATTATTATCGTTGTACTAACGGGCCGGCGCGCGGTCAACAGCAATCTCAATCTAACATTGTTGATGTGCAATCGGTGTCTTTTTTTACTACCTACGTGAGCGCACGACAATAAATCGTTACTTAACAATACAACCGACGACGGAGCGATTGCGCTAATAATTACGTAACGTCACAACGGCACACAACCCTGGATTGGGGGTATAATACTCTAATGAGTATGTGACCGCAGACGTACTATAAATACAGGTATAATAATATAGCAGTGCCCGTATTAAGGTAACGTCAGACGATTGCCGGTATGCGATCGGCAACGGAACAATGGGCCGGGAACTGAACGATAAGTCGGTAACGCATCACGACGAACAACCTGCGAAGATAAGCGGAAAACGATGAACGTACTAGCTCGCGTTGAATTTCCCGGAATGGTGAGTAAGCCGTGAGAATATGCGGTGGCACACACAACACACAAACGCATAACAAAAAGACGTCAAAATCAAAATGTCTTCCGGTGCACGTGACAGGTATCTTCAAGTTCCACACAAAGTAATCAACGATATACGGCGTACGATATAGCACCAGGTCCGACATTTAAATGGTATTTGGAGATTGCACAAAAACAATGCATTAAAAAATGTTATGTCACTGATGAAGGCGGACAGCTTCCAGACAGTGCAACAATAATGTTAATAAACATTAATCAATAACCAAAAACAAAAAACATCAAGTAATGTCTTACGGCATACGGCGGGTAAACACAAACAATGGCCAATGCTTCAAGATGCTTAGATAATGCTTGGCTACGACTGAATTATAATAATATGTTGATTAATAGTAGAAGAAGTAGAACACAGATATCTGTATGTTTAATGACTGTAATGTTACACGACTCACCGTTCATATATTATTATATCGTATTATTCGTATTTATATATTATATACTATACTCTGTCCAGCGAGAAAACGCACCGTGTGCCGACTAAATTTTGCTTGTTTTACATATCCCCATGCGTCACCACCCATTCATAGAGGAACCAATTTGGATAGCAGGGTGACGAASGGCGCGTTTTCTCGCTGGATADAGTATAGCTACTTCCGCCAAGTGTTGCTCTTACCCGAATCTCCTTTTTTTGCGAGCTGAAAAAAATGCTTACCTGAGGTATTTTTTATCATTGTATTGTCTCGCGGTTAATTCTTTGACATTCTTATCTAAATAATGATAAATCGGTTATTAAATATTTATTTGGTTTCTATGTTTAATTATTAATTTTTTATCTATATTTTTTTAAAGACATTTTTTTACGAACATTTAATACACCATTAAAACCAATTGTATAATGGTATTTATAATCAATGGTTATTATATACCTRTACTGTATAATATGTTTTTAATAAATTATAATTTTTTTTTTTTTTGTAAGGGGTTCCCGTGGGAACATGGGCCATTGGGTGTGGGATGGTACAGTAGGGGTTATTTTTGTGTATTTGTTTGTAGGTTATTAAGTGGTTAGGGTTGTAAAACGTGTCTGTGTATGTGTGGCAAGGATACGAGTATGTTGCTAAAAATCCCGGGTGGTCACCCATCCGGGAGCTAGCAATTGCGGCCGGTACGTACGCTCAGTGCGTTTCCGCAGATTGAGCGTATGGCCACGCCTCACCAGGCCACAGTAAATAATAATCTAAAATCTTATATTCTTATATACAACTTAAACAAARTAAATCAGCTGCACGTCTTAATAAATRAAGTAGGAATTAAAATCGCAGCTATATAGGTACTTCCTGCATAATATTTTATGTGTTCTGACGTATTAGTCACTYACAGAAATCTGTTAAGGTCGTCGCGCCATAATTGGACTATATTTTGCTGTTCGTTATTATTACCCGTAGGCCGTAGGCCTATAGCCCATACAGACTTATACGCCATGTATCAGTTGCCCCCTAAAATACCTTTTATTATACCAATTCCCTTAAAAAAGTAAAATAGTTTAAAATCATAGAAGGTAGTTTCTATGATTTTACACTATTTTGCTTCTTTTTTTTTTATAAACAATTTTGTATTTTATTATTTATTATTCGTATATCCCCTATATAGATAAATAAAAAAATGGATAAATAATTGTATCGTGTATATATTAACATGTGGGGGCGTCCCTCTCGTCCGACCGTATGCTGTTTTGCGCAGTTCGAGTGTTGCTCCTGTTCCGTATAATTTTAATAAAATCGATAACCACGACAGCAGAATATCACATAGTCCAACACATTATCRTTTGTCAAATTATTATTATTACCTATGAGCGTTTGAGCAATCCACCGCAATGGCATATCAGCCCGAGCATATTAGATATGTATAGAGTATATACCTGACTTCGTTCACGCTGTTCACATCATGAATATCAATCTGGTAATTTTGTTTTCGTATTTCAAAGTATTATATATGAAATACCCGCACTTCCATATTACCTATGCATACATCGGATAYATGTGTCATCGTGCATTATTTAGATTAGGGTCAYACATATACTGTCAGTGCATTATCGGATCAACCTTTAACTAGTCAACTGAGATCAAATTAATATATTCATATGAATTATGAATCCATTTCATTCATTACGCTGCATCACTTTGTTCATCTGTAGTTATGTGAGTTGGGCAGTCGGCTATAAATGCCAAATAAAATGTTATTATAGTATTAATTTTATCATATATATGCATTCCATTATATTATYAAGTGTTTACCTATAACGTTAAGATATATGTACACTTGTATCAGTTGTATCACGTTCTTTATATTTAATGCATTATATTAGATTTATTATAAATAACGTTATTACGTTAAAATTGAAGAACTGTTTGATATTCTTCACGAAACATATTCTGCCATCGGCCATGGAGGACGAAATCGTATGATGGCAGAACTGAAAAATAAATATTGCAATATAACAAACGAAACAGTTATGGTTTATTTAAAATTATGTGTTCAATGTCAGAAAAAAGCAGTGCACCCAAGAAGAGGATCAGTATCCAAACCAATTTTAGAGTCAACTTTCAACTCACGGGCACAGATTGACCTTATAGACATGCAATCTCAACATTATAATGACTATCGTTTCATAATGAATTACCAGGATCATCTGACTAAGTACGTAATATTGAAACCCTTAAAATCAAAACGCGCTGAAGAAATCGCTTACAATCTTATCGATATTTATACGTTATTTGGGGCACCTGCAATATTCCAATCCGATAACGGGAGAGAATTCGTTAATTCGGTAATTAATGAACTTCATATGATGTGGAATGAAGTCGTTCACGGAAAGCCAAGACATAGTCAAAGTCAAGGGTCAGTTGAACGAGCCAATAGAGACGTCCAAGAAATTCTAGCTGCTTGGATGCGTGATAATAATAGTTCYGATTGGCCATCGGGATTAAGATTTATTCAGTTTAAAAAAAATAGAGCTTTTCATTCAGGTACTATTAAAGTATTAACATTTTACTTATTTTTATTAATAGTTAATAAAAATTGTTTTTTTTTTTAATGTTTATTATTTACATATTAGGCATTATAGGTAGAACGCCATATGAAGCGATGTTTGGCTGCACGGCTAGTATTGGTTTAATGTCGCTTAATCTTCCAAACGATGAAATAAAAAAAGTAATTACGGAAGAAGATTTAGAAAAAATAACCAATGAACCAATCACCGAAGAAGACGAAATCGGAAATGAAATCATAGAAATCGCAGAAAAGAATTCGRAACTTRGTAGTTTGGTACTTAAATATTTTTTAATTATTTAACAATAAATTTCCGAATTCTAAATATAACACAAATAAAACTAAAATATAAATATTTAAAAATTATTTTTATAATTTATTAAATTATTTTAAATATTTTTTAGATGATCGTCAAGAAAATATTTGTATTGCACGTAAAAATTCAAAAAAAAATTTAGAAAAACAAGGAGAGAAAATGATGAAACATTCTAAAGAAAAGTTTCCTCAGCTTGAAATAGGCACAACTGTACGTGTAACTATACCGGACGTTGATAGAGCTCGTGGTTCTCCGCGAAATATACTGGCAGTTGTCACCCAAGTTGAACATGACTTATACAAACTCTGTAAGTTAATTCTTAATGAAAAAATATATTATTAAAATTAAAAATGTTTTAATTATTTTATAGGTACGGAACATGGTTTTCTTAAATACAATTACACTCGTCAAGAAATAGCTGCTTGCGAAGAAAATCTATTAGAC